GCCACCTCCTCCCCTTTCTGTGCAACGTTCGCCTTACGAAAGACCGTTGAGGACTTTGGCTTAGGTTATGCGCAATAGACCACAATCTATATGTTGATGACTGCTTAATGTCATTTCCGGACTCTGTAACAGCTAAGTGCCTCGTTTACGAGATAAGTGCTTTGCTCTCAAAGGGAGGTTTCCGCATGAGGAACTGGTCTTCCAACGATCGTGAGGTATTGTCAGCCACTGACCCAACGGAACTCACGTCCGGGGTGAGAAATTTAACTACGGACCCATTGCCAATGGAGCGTGCCCTAGGAGTGCAGTGGGATACGGAATCTGATACACTTGTGATTGCTTTTAATTTACCGTCGAAACCACCACCACGCAGAGGCGTTCTCTCCTGCATATCTTCACTGTATGATCCCCTGGGCTTTGTTTCTCCGTGGTTAGTACCAGGCAAGTGTCTACTGCAATCCCTGTGCAAAAGTGGACTTGGTTGGTACGAGTCGTTAAGTGACACCGATCTCACTCTCTGAGATAATTGGTTGTCTAACCTTCGTAGCCCCCATAACTTGCGACTTCCTAGGTGCTTAAAGCCTAGGTAGGTTGGTGGTACTCCACAAGCCGAACTTCATGTATTTTGTGATGCATCGAAGACCGCATATAGTGTGGTGGCATATGCCCGCTTCATGGATGACACTGAAGTTTCTGGCTGGTCGCTTGTATTCTCGCAGGGGCGGGTGGCCCCCCTCAAGTCCCTTTCGATACCAAGATTGGAGTTAACAGCTGCATGTTTGGCAGTGCGAGTAGCAGATTTGATTGGAGCAAGTACAGATTGGAGTTGCTGCATGTTTGGCAGTGCGAGTAGCAGATTTGATTGGAGCAAGTACAAAAGACTACTTCCAACGTACTGTGTTTTGGACGGACGGCATGATTGTTGTGTACTACATCCACAACGTATCTTCCAGATTTTGTTCCTTTGTCGCAAATCGCCTAACAGTCATTCGTGATACGTCATCACCCACTCAATGGAGGCACGTGTCATCGGAGTAAAATCCAGCTGACATCGCCTCTCGAGGGACTTATAACCTCGGTCCATTGCGTAGATGGTTAACGGGAACCAGATTTTTACTCGAGCTAGAGAGTAAATGGCCTCCACAGCCTCGATTGACGCAGCCCGATGGTGTCGAACTGAAGAGCCTTGTAGCACAGGTTAACCGATTGGAGGGAAATGACGTTATGTGCCAACTAATGTCTCGGTTCTCTTGTTGGATGAAGTTACAGAAGGTCGTGGCTTGGTTACTGCGTTACAGG